TTACTATTTATGTCATAGAGTTTATGTATAGGTTACTATTTATGTCATAGAGTTTATGTATAGGTTACTATTTATGTCATAGAGTTTATGTATAGGTTACTATTTATGTATAGGTTACTATTTATGTCATAGAGTTTATGTATAGGTTACTATTTATGTCATAGAGTTTATGTATAGGTTACTATTTATGTCATAGAGTTTATGTATAGGTTACTATTTATGTCATAGAGTTTATGTATAGGTTACTATTTATGTATAGGTTACTATTTATGTCATAGAGTTTATGTATAGGTTACTATTTATGTATAGGTTACTATTTATGTCATAGAGTTTATGTATAGGTTACTATTTATGTATAGGTTACTATTTATGTCATAGAGTTTATGTATAGGTTACTATTTATGTATAGGTTACTATTTATGTCATAGAGTTTATGTATAGGTTACTATTTATGTATAGGTTACTATTTATGTCATAGAGTTTATGTATAGGTTACTATTTATGTATAGGTTACTATTTATGTCATAGAGTTTATGTATAGGTTACTATTTATGTATAGGTTACTATTTATGTCATAGAGTTTATGTATAGGTTACTATTTATGTATAGGTTACTATTTATGTATAGGTTACTATTTATGTCATAGAGTTTATGTATAGGTTACTATTTATCTATAGGTTACTATTTATGTCATAGAGTTTATGTATAGGTTACTATTTATGTATAAGTTACTATTTATGTCATAGAGTTTATGTATAGGTTACTATTTATGTATAGGTTACTATTTATGTCATAGATTTTATGTATAGGTTACTATTTATGCCATAGAGTTTATGTATAGGTTACTATTTATGTATAGGTTACTATTTATGTATAGGTTACTATTTATGTCATAGAGTTTATGTATAGGTTACTATTTATGTATAGGTTACTATTTATGTCATATAGTTTATGTATAGGTTACTATTTATGTCATAGAGTTTATATATAGGTTACTATTTATGTCATAGAGTTTATGTATAGGTTACTATTTATATATAGGTTACTATTTATGTCATAGAGTTTATGTATAGGTTACTATTTATGTCATAGAGTTGATGTATAGGTTACTATTTATGTAAAGGTCACTATTTATGTCATAGAGTTTATGTATAGGTTACTATTTATGTATAGGTTACTATTTATGTCATAGAGTTTATGTATAGGTTACTATTTATGTATAGGTTACTATTTATGTCATAGAGTTTATGTATAGGTTACTATTTATGTCATAGAGTTTATGTATAGGTTACTATTTATGTATAGGTTATTATTTATGTCATAGAGTTTATGTATAGGTTACTATTTATGTATAGGTTACTATTTATGTCATAGAGTTTATGTATAGGTTACTATTTATGTATAAGTTACTATTTATGTCATAGATTTTATGTATAGGTTACTATTTATGTATAGGTTACTATTTATGTCATAGATTTTATGTATAGGTTACTATTTATGTCATAGAGTTTATGTATAGGTTACTATTTATGTATAGGTTACTATTTATGTCATAGAGTTTATGTATAGGTTACTATTTATGTATAGGTTACTATTTATGTCATAGAGTTTATGTAAAGGTTACTATTTATGTATAGGTTACTATTTATGTCATAGAGTTTATGTATAGGTTACTATTTATGTCATAGAGTTTATGTATAGGTTACTATTTATGTCATAGAGTTTATGTATAGGTTACAATTTATGTATAGGTTACTATTTATGTCATAGAGTTTATGTATAGGTTACTATTTATGTCATAGAGTTTATGTATAGGTTACTATTTATGTCATAGAGTTTATGTATAGGTTACTATTTATGTCATAGAGTTTATGTCGAATAATATTTAAGAACATGTTACATATGATACATCTATAGTCACACGTTTGAAGGTCAGTCTAAAGGTTAACGTTGCCCAGGGAGGGAGTTGAGTCTAAAGGTTAACGTTGCCCAGGGAGGGAGTTGAGTCTAAAGGTTAACGTTGCCCAGGGAGGGAGTTGAGTCTAAAGGTTAACGTTGCCCAGGGAGTTTAGTCTAAAGGTTAACGTTGCCCAGGGAGTTGTATTTTTGATATTGTCTCGTTTCTGGTCGGTAACAACTGCTAGTTGTTTTGCGTCTGTGTTTTGGAATCGTTATATGTATGTAAAGTACGTGGTACAAGTCAACAATTATTGACAGAGTTAACACTGAAAATAAGTGTTGAGTTTGAAATTGGAAAAACTAAAAAAAGACAGAATGAAAGGTGAGCGTTTTCTTATGCTTGAGTATAAGAAATTACGATAAAAAAGGGGGGAATCAGAAATTGATTCTCAATTATTTAAATGTATCTTAATTCTATTCTATCAGTTCATCTGCATTTTTCATTGCATTTGGACACATAAAAACATTGAGAGAAACGTTCACGTCACAATTCGCGTGATTGGACACGTTCTTGGTGAAACATATGGTCCAGGAACACAGTCCTTTAATTAAATATAGTCCCTATTGTGGATAGTGTATATTACTTGCAATTTTTTTATACCCCTTCCCAATTTATTTCTTCGTGTTTTATGTCTCAAATAGCAAGAACGGGGATGCAATTACACTAAAAAAAATAGGCTGATGATTTTTATCGTAAAGCAGTGATTTGGTTCAGTTGAAAAAGGTTAGAAATTAGTATGTATGAGGCTGTCGAACAGAATTGAAGACCCCCTTCACATAAAATTATCCATATTTTGAGTTAGAGCAGATGAAATTTCTATAACTTTGATATAATTTGTCCACAACATGGTAAAAATATTATTGATAAAATGCAGGTGTGATTTTTAATTTGCATTTATTGTCTTAAAGTAATGCAATACGAAATAACTGTGTTCTCGAGCTACATATGTTCTCACTTTTCTTATCCGTTTTACACTATGGCAAAATGAAACAGTAATTTTTTATAAAGAAGCATGAAATCCCAAATATATTCATATCAAATATGTTGAATATCAAATTTCATAATAAAAGATTGACTAAACCTCATTAATTTTAAGATAAGGAGATGTGTTAATGGTTGCAAATGAGACAACCCAAGTTCAAATGAAGTGGATGTATGCAATTATAGGCAACCGTATGGCCTTCAACAATGAGAAAAACCCATACTGATTACTTTCTTATGACACCGATAAAGGCGTTAAATAATGGAAATGAAGATAATTTATTTACGGACAGAAGGCATTGATTTCACATTGTTTCAGCGTTTATATTATATTTTTGCATTAAAATAACTCTATTAAATCAATAAAGCACACGAAAGAATGAAATTAATGAAGTGTTATTTTCATCTACTCCTCCTATTCTTTAAAGACAAAAATATCTGAACACTTTAACCCAATCCAACAAAATGTCTAAATAGTTTAAATAAATAAAAAAATAAAAAGACCAACAACAAAGTGGTCACATTTTTTAAAAGGTCAGATCTATGTGTTCGTGTCCATTTTAAAAGATTTAATATAAAAATACCGCTACAGTGGTAACAAATGTTCTAATTGACTTTTTAAACCCTCACCGCAATGATATTACTATTCTAATGTTTTCCCAATGAAGTACTTTATTTTTGTAAAGTTTTTAATGTTCTCACTGACCACTTACTTTACAGTGGTCAATTTTGTTATTTTATCAGTCTCCTGATCAGGTTTGATTACAGTACCAGTAACCAACAGAGCAGGTAATGGATTTAACAATAGACAAAATAACAATATAATCGTATTTAGTCACGAGGTGCTCGGTGCAAAGTGTTACTCCTATATACACCTGCAAAATATTGTTAAAAATTCAGGTGAAAAATTAATGTAATCTGATCTAAAAATAATCAAAAGTTCTCGGGTATCAAGGGTGTAATTCTTATCAAAACAAAGTTTGAACAATTAATTTGTATATAAACGAGTATTTTGTGGCTATAGCATTTCTAGATTGTGTTGATCTTTCTCTTTTAAGTGTTTTACTTCTGTTTACAGGTATTAACAGAGTATTCTTATACCGAATAGTTGTTATTTCAAAAGCATAGATAGATCATGTAGTAACAATTATCTTTTTCAATAGCCTTATTTCTAATAAGAAAATAATAAAAACAGGTATTCATGTTACCATAATGATTTAATCGGAAGGTATGATGTAATTTGCACGATCAAAATGTTAAAATCTTTTTGTTTCAACACAATGCAAATGTGTTAAAATTGATAATCCGTGAGTACCTTACAGGTTAAATAATGTATAAAATTTGGCAGGTAAAATACCTGTCATGATCAGATAAAAATGAGAAACGCTGCCAAATATTTCATTAAAAAATATCTAAATGGTGAAGTGTCGCTAAAAGTTACTAGTATTTCCACAAAAATTCCATATATTCTGGATTGAACCTCTTTAAATCGAGCAAGAACTTTTCACGAATATGTCAATGAGTGTAAAAAAATGACAATGTGTGAGAATTAGAAAATTGCACATTTTCGGTGGTACACCACAAGGAATAACAGATAACTCTAAATAATAAAACATTCCTTTAGTCAAATGTATCGTTATAACCATTGAAGTAATGTCGGTAAAATACTTCCATGTTAAAACCAAAATGAGTCAATGAATGTTTAATTTTTGCCAAATCTTTTCAAAATTGATATACTAATAGATTGCAATCAAAAAAAAAAGAAGTAACTTCTGTGTTTGGATGACTAAACTAACAAATTAATGACGGTAATCAAATTCATATTACATGATTTCTTAATATATACATAAAACCATAATTATACTTATTGGATGTTTTCAATATTATGGCTAACAATGATCTTTGTGTTATCAGCTGACTAACAGAAAATTGATACTTTAAGAATGTATTCGAAATTTTAGCACTTACAAGTGCCAATCAATGTGAACCGATGGTTTATTGACTCAGTTCGAGAGGAGGCGTGGCTTAACTACCTACTATACAGTTTTAAAACTTCTTGCTATATAAACAGTTTATCGCTTCGATATAATGGAAGATCGTTGCTGAGCTCCCAATAGTGATACGTTGCTAGAATAAAATTTCAAATTTCCATTCATTTCCTTTCACGCGTGTATTAACATTACAATACTACAGACGTGGAATTTTATCAGCTGGATACTATATATCAACGTTCTAAGTGTTGCATTTATAAATATGTTCTGCAGAGTTCATTACTTCTAATTGTAATTAAGGACTAGATAATTAATCCTCTACACACCAATACACAAAGAGTGACCACAGACGTGGTTTATTGGTAACAGCTGTCCAGACATTAAACCATAGTACAGTAGCAATGTAGAAGGCAACACAGCCAAATAATAAACCAAATTTTTGAAGGTAAGAAACTTTATTATTTATTTATTTTGTTTATCTATATTTTTCTTTTTCTGCATGTTTCTGTTTGAAATTTAAGATAAATGTCGTAGGCTAACAAGATGCGTTGAAATAGTACAAGGTCAGCAAAAAAAAGAAGCATTAAGTTGTTTAAATTATTTCAAATGCTATAAATTCAAATCATAGACAGCAAAAAATATTCCGACAGGTTTTTGATGTTTAAAGTTATTAATCTCTCGTTACAGAAAGAGGTTTACCACTTGTTGGCACCTAAAAGTAATCATCTAAAATTATATTCTTGATTTGATTTCAAATAAACATGATAAACAATTAGATCAAGGACAGTTGGGGTTTTCGTTAAGATTTTTGTTTGTCGGGTTTTGACTGAGTTTATTCACTTTTGCAATTTTTATGGGCATCCATCATTATGGAAATGGACTTGTATAACGATACATGTTAAATTTATAAATTTATCGTATTGATGAAAGTTTTAAGAACTTTGTTTTTGCTTAAGTATTCCTTGCTTTTGCTACACTCTCGCTACAGTACTCGCCACAGGAGATATTGTAGAATTGAAAACCACGCTTTCACTAGGTTAGTGCCATATCCATAGATGCTATAACTTATTTGGGTAGATTAAGCGTAAAATCTTCCAAAAAATGTCAAAAGTTCGCTATGGCTGTTTGATGATGTCCAGTGATCACAGTGTTTCGATGAAGCATTGAGGTTTGATTCTGAATGAAACCTCACCAGTTGCAGCTTTATGTTTAATTGATTTCATTTCTGACGTTTAATTCAGATTCCAGATTTTATTAACCAAGGCACTGTCTTTTCGTTTAAAATTTGCTACCACTTCTGGATCTGATTTATTGCAGTCGTCATTCAAAACAGACAGGAATCAAACAGCATACAAATAAATATTTCACAAATTTTTACATTAGCAGCACATAAAGAATATTTGAAATCAATAATTTATCACTTGAGGAAGTCAATAAAAACTTTTCAACAACATTAAATAGATAGGCTAATGTAAGGATGAGTTGGCAGAACTTTTACTTTTATTAGATTATGGCGAAGTTATAGTATCATTATCGAAATAACTATCAGTTGTGGAACGTTACGTAGAGTAACATCTTTATATCATCATGGTATATTGTAAAATACTAAGTGCATTTTCTATACAATATGAGAACGAGTTTCACTGCTCGGAAAAAGGTCTAACTTGGAATTCGGACCCCCATTTCCAAAGACCGAGGCTGTTATTAAACGCGTTCTGGTTGCCCGATTGTTTTCATGTCAAACTTTTTCGACTCGTGGTTTCATAATTTCCTTTAGTTTTGATGTGAATGTGTAGATGTACCAAATTTGTTTCATAGTTCCAACATGTACATATATAAGCTATTTTTTTTAGATTTAAATTCTATAATAAATAATGAATTTGGTTAAAGAAGGATAACACATTTGTGTCGGGTTAAATCAACACATTTGACCCTTTGGATAAACATAATTTTACTTTTTATTGCTTACAAAACTAGCATTAATTTATATTTATCTTTAGTCGTAAGATTTTTCAGAAAATTGCTTTCCTTTTATATTGACTTAAACAAGTATTGTACTCTAAAATTTAAACAAATTTGTTTCAATATTTACACATATTTAGTGGGTAGTATAATAAAATGTCTTTTAATACAAACTGTTTCATATAGCACTATCAATATACAAACATAGACAAGAACGAGTTAATCTGAACGCAAACAAAACAAGAATGTTCCCTATTGTGGTCCGGTCCCGATTCTTTACTTAACAATTCCTCTTCAGTCATTGCTATTAATTCAAGGATTATTGGCCACAATAAGAAACACCATTTTACGTTACCTGTTAAATAAACAAAAACAAATCAAGGCACCAGTGCTCTTTAACTTCACGTGACAAGAGGGCTTTTAGTGCCTATTAACACCCTAGGTGTCCCAGATTTGTTTCTCGTGGGTGTACGTCTGCTCCGTAGGTGTTCACAGGTCATTGTTAAAGGCGAGACCCGGTCGTGTTGACAAACATTTCATTTTCATCCAAAAAATAAATCAATCTTTTGTATTGATACGTGACAGGATTAAGAAGTTAAAAGTCTAAAGTGGACCTATCCACAGTCTATTATACTTGGAGTATTAGTCCTGCTGGGTGATGGTCAATTCAATAAAAGCTTCAACGGTGATATGATAACAATGCTAATTTACTTACATACACAATACAGCGGAAGATTATACTCCGATTCATCTACTATAGTCCAGTACAACTCATCCTAGCAATTAAAAACTCTTACGTAGATGGTTTATCATCAAGTTTATTTATAAAATATTAAGACGCTTCTAAATTTTGTACGTTATTTTGTAGATTTCTTATGCTAATGAAGAGTTATCGAAACAGGAAGGAGTATTTCGTAATTCTAATCAACTGTTTTTGATGCAGTAAACTATTTCAATTTAAAGTTCTAAGGAAACATAACATTCAAGATGAGGATTCAACAATTAAGCAGAGCAACATATGTACTTTTTGTTATTGTTTGTGCAGTATTAGGAGCACCCACTGGAAAACCAAAACGAAAAGGGTGTAGGTGTAAAAAGGTTTACAAAGAACTACAAGAAGCATTTGATGCAAAATTCAAGGCGTTTGAAAACAGATTCACAGCAGACTTGCCAAATTTAAATAAAATAGCTAATGAGACAATGAAATTAGCAGAGTACAATGCTAGAATTTCTAAATTATTTGAAAATGTACAGTTTACCCAAGATGCATTGCAAAGAGAAAGTCAGACATTAAAATCTGTTCGAAATCAAATTTCAGAACAGAGGATAAATTTAAAAGATTTGAATAGCAATTTTGCAGTGTTAGACGCTGTTGTTAAAAATTTATCGGACGTTATTGATAGACTAGCGAACATTTCTCCATTACCAGCGCTAAGCAACAAAATCAACCAATTAAACACAGAACCTAAACCGTCAATTCCAGCAACACAACCAACGGAACCTACGAAAGCAACAACGCTACAAGAAATGACGTCATATCCAAAAGGTAATTAAGCTTTTTTTTTCTTTTTAACTTTCAACACTAAAATAAAATTTTTAATTTGAAATGATCGTTTGACATTTAAAGTGGCAGTAACTCTACTCCAGGGATAATTTTTGTTTTGATCATATTCAGAGGTAATCAAATAGGCGTTAGCTTTGCCAAAACTCATGAAATGGTATGGTTTTCTCGTTTAGTAGATCAGAAAAAGTAATTATATTGAGAAATAATGTTGTTAAACCACGGGGTGTTATCATTGTACCTTTACAGACTAGATAATACCAGTTAATTTGAAGTTCTCATCAGAATCAAGAAGCAACCTTGATTTTTGTCTACCACAGTCCGACATTGATTAGGTAATTTTTAATTCGTGTCAGAATTACGCTAAATTTCAAATGGTGGTCTGGAAATCCAAAAATTATACGGTTCTTTGCCAATGTTAGTATATCACTGGGCCAAATATGCTCTGCAAACTGTTTAAATGTATGCCATGTTTCTTTCCCTAATCATTGGTGTCAGCATAGATCTGTAAGGTGAGTCGTATCTAATATATGAAAACCACTTTTCTAGTTACTCCACACAAACATGCCGAACATAGCCGACGATACGGGTTTTTTTCATTGTTGAAGGTTATCCTGTGTTCTATCATTGCTTATATACATTTATTTGAACTTTGGTGGATAGTTGTCTCATTGCCACTCATACCACATCTCGATATTACTTAGAAATTGGAACACGAAGGAATGAATTCTTAAAAGAAGTTACAAAGTAGGATTTTCCAGTATTTTACAGAACATTAATTAAGTTGTTTGGGACAAGAATTTCAAGGGTTAAATGCCACTGCTAGACGATACATCAATTGCAATTTTGTAGACTTATCGATTGGGCAATAATGTGACACTTTGACCTATACATCGTTTATACGGGATAATGCCTCCTTGATTTATCTCTATCTCAGACAAAAGATTTGTTTAAATTAAGTACTGTCACATATTTCCAGTACTTGAATGACAGTTATAGTATTGTACAATAATCAGCGGGGTGAAATATTTTCCAACATTGTGTCATTGCAGAATAAAAGATAGATATCTGTGTTCAACAAAACATGACTCACAAATCTATTGTTTAACTTGTTAAATGCGTAAAAGGAATGTGGAATATTGAATAAGATTGCAATAGATATCTATTCTTCATGCATATTGGGCATGATGATTTTGGATGAGCGGTTAAATCACAATATAATTGTGTTAATGAAAATCAAATATTGCTCTAAAGGTGCTTTTGATGAAATAAAATGCCTCCGATAGTCATAGCACCATCAGAGCACTAATTAAGTTCACTTAACATTCTTTTCTTGCATTTCTTAAGCATCTAAACAAAAAGGTAGTGCGTAGAAATTTCTGGCGGCCATACTTCAAAATTCGGATTTCAAGGACATATATAAAAAGTTAACCTGATTGAAAAGTTCGAAGATGAAAGGAGGTTAACCTAATTATAAACTCATTACACTTAATTTACCACCACGATGTTTGATGCAAGGAAACAATTTTTGATATTTATCAGTTACTGTTAATCAGAATGGTATTATGTCAAACCAGTCATCAACTGATCCAAATACTGTTACTGAATTAGCTATAAAGATGAATACTGATAATAAACAAACGTTTCTTTTTTGTTCAGCTGTTAAAATGTATACAATGATGATTCATATAATTGGGGACATTGTTAATAATTTTTTAACCACTCATTAAATTTAACGAAGCAAATCGATGATATTAGTACGATGTTGTGATACTCTATTCACTTTGTGTGACGCTATTATAGGTAACCTTATCCCGACCATAAAATTATTGTTTTCTAAACAGCTTACAAAATAAACTGTAAATGTGTACGATAAGTTAAATTGAGCATGAAACTTGCTTCAGATAAGTTAAATGGAGCAAATGTGAAGGCTTACACCCCAAAATTACGATTCAGCAATATGTAAGATATCTATGTGTTGATTTCATCAAAAACTAGACGGATTTAAAGTTTTACAAAATCTCAGCGAAAAACTGAGCGGACGATGGGAAAAGAATAAATTGATTTCCCAATTCATGCATAAGTGCTGTCTGAACTAAATATACCAAGTAGAAATCTCAACCAGAGCTAGTGACGTAGAAGTTAGCAAATATAGGTCTCATTAAAACCTTGAACAATGATCAAACCGCTGGTCTTATTTGATTAATTTAAAACAAAACTTGTTTTCATTGAAAAATTGTATATTTAAAAAAACACGTTGTCAGGCACTACAATCTGTTGTTTATATGGTTTGTATTTAAGCACTAAAACGAAGGTTAAAGGAATAAGTACAAATGTTCTTGAAAACTCTAAAGAAAGCCAAAAATTTTGAAGGTTTTTCACAATTATAGCTTGTAAAGTAACTTAATCAAGTACTTCCTTTTCTTATCAGATAAAATGATTTAGTTACTTTTAATGAAATCGAACGTTCAATTATTTGCTTGTAACCTCTTCATGCATGCATACACGAGTGTGCATATGTTCCGAAAACATGATCCAATTGAAAAGACTGCTAGTGCAAGGTTATGTGTGCACGGTATATTTTCAAAAACAAACACTGATATACATTGATCAGTTTCGATTCCGCACAATTGTACATTCATAAGTTTCGATTCCGAACAATTGACAATTTATGTTTTTATGTTTTGATTTTAAACAATTACCGTTTATGTCTATCCAAAAACAAAGAGGGGGTATTGACAATATTCCCTGATAGAGTCAAAAATCTAAACTTTGAAACTGTAAATTTTAGAAAATATTGAAATCATGTGACTTGTTATAATGGCCATGGTGTGAATAAATTTTAGAGGGACCAGGCCCTACTTCCTATTTTCATTGATACCAATAATTAAAAGGGGATTTCTATGTTTGAAAAGATGATCTGATTTCTTCAAATAAAGTTACACTTCATGTTAGATACGTTTAATCATGGAAGTATTATATTGACGTCAATATAATACTTCCATGGTTTAATTAACAAGATATAAACTGATGGCTGTAAGTACTTTGCTTCTCCAACCGTCTAGATTGACAATAAATTGAAAAATTACAGCTTCATGCTTCAGTTGCGGATCCAGGGGTTTGGTGGTGGTGGTGGTGGGGGGGGGGGGGGGGGGGGTGTCTTAGAGGGCGTATGCCCCCTTTGATAGCAAAAAAAATTTAAAATCTCATGTTTTTCACGATATATATAAATTTTTAGTATAAAATCGTCCAATTTTCCCGCATCACTCAGTACAAATGTATATATTCGAGAATTCACCCCCTTTCAACAATCCTGAATCCGCCCCGGAGTTTTAAGTTGTTCTAAAATGCGCAATCTACACAGAATTGACATGCACTGACACAAGGAAATATCATAGCATTCTTTCTTCCCAGAAATCACATTATTCGTAAGAATAACGAGTTACTGAAAGATTTGGCAAGGTCGTTGTATTTGAAGATGTAAACACTAAAGTAAGAGATTAATAAACCGAAATTAACATCATCACATCTGTTTAAAAAATTAGTCTGAATCATCTGATCTGGTGCCATGCCAGGAGTTAGACGCTGAGCGCCCGAAGATGAGGTGTACAACTACTTGTATTGAAATGTCTGCTTCTTTCATTAAGGACCAACTGTTTAATTGCAATATGCTTGGCAGTCTGTAAAGTGTTTAACTTGCAAAACATAGTGTTAGTTTAATGTATTACTGATAGAAGAATGATTGTAAATTTGGAGTTTTTGTAATTAATTTGCAAAGTTATTGAGGCATCAATGATATTAAGATACATAGATTCAATTAAGAATTAAGACATTTGGAAAGACATTGTCTACAAAATAAACGTTAGCACATGGTCACTAGTTATATACCATGGTATACTGTAAAAATGTTACTTTATATTTCAGTCGAAGGTAAACATATATTTTCTAATCGAAACTGAACTAATTACGTGTAATTCTAAGGTTCACACAAAACCAATATAATATTCTATACTCGGTACATCCCGGGGATATGTCCGACTTTTACAGGTGTCAGATTATTATAAATCTAACATGTGTAACAATACCTGTCAGGTATCATTCTAAAGTAAACATTAATGATAATCCGCCTCCATTAAAAGTAAAGAGCACCAAGCGACCTGACAAGACAAAACTGCAATGATCCGATTATTGTTACAGTTTATAAGGCCATTAAAGAAAGTGTAATCGCCATCGCAATCGACCGTTTATCCTAAACCGTAAAGAAAACTGTTTTTTATTTCATATTTTCCATTTTTGATTAAGTTCAGAATTTGTTTTTAAACACAATTGCAAGAATTTATCAAAATAAATGTAAATTTTCAAAACAATTAAAAAAAGAAATCTGAAAAAAAAACAACCCGAAAACTACGTATCAGTAAGAAATTACCTGGAAACTAAATTTCATTGTCTATGGCCTAAGTATTAAGATACCCTCCACAGTGTACGACCACAACATGATTACTGTCACAGCAGGGTTAAATATTTATCACAATATTGTGTGGTTTATATTTACATAATGAAAGGTTGTACAGTTTATACAGTAGAAGTAGTACAAAAAACAAATCCAGTTAATACCCTGGACCTACTGTGTACATTTTGTAATATAACAGTATATGAAAAGTATTATGCAAATTAGTAAAATAACGACATATAAATTAATATAAAATTTCTGCTGATAACCTTTAGTAATTTGCAGTGGGGAATATTGCGATTTGTTTACGAAATTGAAAATTTACAAATGCAATACTTTATTTAAGAAAGACCCAATAAAACATGTGAAAATACAAAAGTACCTTGACTAAACAAGCAACACAACTTGTACATGTATACAATTATTTAGGAGCATCACCTGTCGACATTTGTTTGCATGGATTTGTAGACATTTCAGTAAACAATTGGCGGAGATTAACGTGTATTTAAATACTAAAGTGCAAATGTACGGCGACAGTTGACTCGAGAAATATATTATAATACAAAACAATTTGCAATATTATACCGTATAAAAAAAATACGACCTACCCCATCATAAACATTTACAATAGGTCTTGCTAAATTAAGAATTAATTGATCTGATCCCGGGCTAAGCATGCCGCTCCAATAGTACATAGTATAATATGATAAACTTTGATAAGAAAGATATAAAGGGAAATATTTGGCAATGGATAATTTGATAAAGTTTAATGATCTTAAAAATATTTTATCTTTAAATTAATATAGTTAATAACCTTGAATATAATTAAGATCTGTTTACATCAGATGCCTATATATCACGAAAAATGTCTCGAATCGGAGTCACACACATGCCCGCGATTTTGATTGTGAGCTAAGCTATGTTAAGCCATGGTTATAAAAAATGTGTTTGTGTTCTTTTTTTGGAGACGTGGTAGACAGGACGTGTCCCCGCTTTTAAATAACACAGGAAAGTGATGCGAAGGACTTTTTGCACTTTTTTGCATATTCTTTTTCGACTTTATTTATGTGTGAAAGTATATATGACCTTTACGACCCTGTACAGTACTTTTAACACTCTTCTCCATTTGCCTCCTCCAAACACTGTTTTTATGTGTCTTAATTGGTTTCCACTACAGTGTTTATAATTAGAGTATAATGATCCTTAATGCGTTCTCTTCTTATCAAAAAGTCCCAAAACTATATTTCTCTTACATTCTGCAACCAAATTTCGACTCAAAGCTAAACTATGCGGTCGTTTTAACGTCTTGTTGAATTCACATCTATAAAGACGACCTTCCCAGACAACAGGTTGTACATCGAGATAGTTTCTATGCCTGAAGTAGCTTTAATGTTTACATCAAAAGCAGAGCTGTTACACCATCTTATTACATAAGATCGTAAAGTATTGGCTGAACGTTTGATACAGAAGAACTTTAGACATGTTGTTTCTGTAAATACTAGCTTGTTGATCCAAGGATATACCTATATATTTTTCTTGTAAACATTTGATTCGAGCTTCCTTTTTGGCAAATGTCCTGTCAAATCATAATGTATGGCTGCTAATAATCAGTACTGGCCTTCAACTCTAAGTAGAATACTTTAATCTATAACTGTATAGATATGTCTGTGTGGCTGAATTCGAATTTTGCAATGTGTACATTGAACTTTAGGTGCGCGAGTATTTACTAGAATTAAAGTTTCCATTTCACTATCCCATATTTAGTCCCTTTTAATTAATTGCAAGATTTTGTACATCTTATATGGAAAAGAAGGACTATTATACATTGAACGATGACGCGAAATTCCTTTTGGAACAACACTTTTGTTGCTGTTCACCATCTCAAAGTCACAGGCCTGCAATACGGTGAAAAATCTCACAACTCACTTCAAGACGGTCTCTGTAGCATCGGTTTTCAGCAGATTTCTTTGGTAGATGTGGATGACGCTTTATTTCTGCATTGATAGAAGCGGTGATATTAACAGTTTTACAGACTAAATCTTTTTAATAATGTCATGAGTTGCCCGACAATATCATTGTCAACTGTGATTACAAACCGATGAAATACAAACACCTACAAACATTCAGACAACAACAGAGTACATCAAGATATTTTTTTTAGATAATTTGACAAGAAATATAAATTGCGCAAATTATACGGATTGACTACATGTACAACAATTTTCATAAATAAACAGACTGAAAGATAAAAAGTTATGTAAACACAAAAGAAAAGTTGTCCCAATAATAAATACGCCATAGCTATAAAAATATGAGAGCACACATCTCAAACGCATGGGAAACTTACTAAGACCTCAACAAAGCACAAGACACAAAACTCAATGCAATAAAAAGAGGGAGGAATATAAAAATTCTAAACTTCTTGTAATTTTTCGTCTTTTGCTAAGGTTTGTGTATTGTTTTTACATCGGAAACGAGGCTTTTATACTTATACCGATATTTTAGGTATTGTAAACTACCTGATTGAACTGCATGTCTGGCGTCATATATTCTGATGCTTGAGTTTTGTAGTTAACCAAGTTTAAGTGCCTTCTTTTATTCTTGGCAAAATTAAGCTTCTAAAAATACAATGATTAAAATTCAAATCGAGATTTATATTATAACTTGTCAGAGGGCTAAAATTAAGTACTTCCTTTCAATATGACGCATTACAAAATGATTCGATTGCCGCTAAATACACCTATTACAACAGTTATACGGATGAAATTAAAATTTCATTAACAACAACGTTAAGGATAGGGTCAGATTAAAAGTTAGATATGTCAAAAAGTTCATATCACTTAAAACAAAGGAGATTTATAGACATAAACACTTTAACCAATCATTATACACTTGTTCTAAATTTGTAAGCAGAGGAAGTACGATCGCGACCTCGCCAGAAAACCAAACTATCTGAATTTGTTCTCACACTTTCCAAACAACTGATGACTAGTTTTTCCCCTTAGTGGTCAAATCATTACACGCACCTGTTAGAATCATATACATGTATGAAGATGAAACACCTTGCAGTTTAAGTTCATTAAATCATTTTCTGGTGGAAAAGTTACTTTTTTGGAACTGAGCCTTTTTTTTTTTAAATCTGATCAGATTGTCCCATCTCTACGGTCAAGTTATCTCATTTTCATCTCTATGGTCAAGCGACCACACACCCACAAATACACATGCACCTGGCTGATATAACAGGTTACATGTTATTTGCATTAAATGCATGATATGGCAACTATCCTTGGTATGAGTTTCAAGAAGATGAATATCACACATGGAGAATCAACGTTTTTGTAGCAAGATAAGATTACAAGTATATATAAGTAAGACATTTTCTGAGATTTAATTATTTCCCATGGGCATGCCAGGCGTTATTTTAACATTCCAAATGATATTCAAGGTATATTAAGTACATAAGTGAAAGGTGAGCGGAGGTTTCTGAACTTGTGGTTCGTTTCTTTTAATGGAGGTTAGAATAACATCTACAGACTATTGAGATAAGAGTTGGTTTTATAATCAAATTGTTCTTGATTACCTTTTGATTGTTGGTCAGCTTTGGTTTTTGTTTACTGTTGAAATATAAATGATAATTTGTATGAGGCATGAAGGAACAGCCGAAACAAACTTTGGTTTGAATGTGTTGTTGTGTTAGTGGTCCATCATTGCAGATCTAGTCGTAGAGCAATAAGGAAATACTAAACTGAGTTTGTTTATCTATACTCTCTATGCATGTACACATCCTGTTACCGGTTATCGGTACGACAGATACAATAGAGTCTGTGTTCCCGACTGCAATAAAATAATTGTTTTGTCTGTCGGGTAGAGCAGATTTAAGTTTCCGATTGCCGTTGCAATAACATGAACTTTTCAATCGTGTTGCATCTGCCTTACCGATAGCAGCTAATAGGGTATGAAATATAAATTATTTTTTTAACGATTTTTTTTTCTGCACACGAGTCCGATCGAATGCACGATTAAATGTAAAACGTTCACTTATAAATATGAAAACTGCAGAGTAATATGTAAATCAGTTACCACCAAGAACGTCTGTTATATAATCATCAAATTATCTGTTCATTATTGGCTTACCACAAATATGTACGGAGATGACTTAACCATAGTGTTATGCTTGTCTGTACTTATTTCAAAAGGTGGGTTCACAGTATGCTTTCATAACATTTCCTTTGATAACAAAGTTTTGGAAAATCTTCCAACAATAACTGTTGTCACTGTTAGCAACATGATTATATAAATAATGAATAACCACGACTAATTTGTACTTCTGTCGGGTTATATTACCAATCATAAACTGAACATTATCAAATACCAAGCTGTGTGCGTTTTATGAATGCAAAACGCAACTACGGAAGTTTTACACGGACTAAAAATATACTAAATAGTTTATTGAACGATTTCATGAAATTTTTATTTATATAAGCTGTGATTGACACCATTAACAAAAGAACTATGGACATTTATGAGAAAAATAGAAAGTATTCTTATTTAACTAAGTTTATTAAACACGTTTCTATATATTTATTGTTATTTGGGTACCTTCTGTACCACGGCTCCATTACAGCTGCTGGTATTTTGCCAAACCACTGACCTCACTCTATCTATTTATCCTAAATGTTTTTGTGACCCGTGGATAGTAAGCAAGCCATGGGTGTAATTCGTTTTTGTTGTAATTGACATTTTTTTCAAAACAAAGAGCTCGTGGTCTTTCTCAAATGTTTACGGAGTGGATAAAATTCTAGGCGTGATTGGTTAAGAATCCTTTGAAATGAACAGATAGTGCGTCAAACAAAGATTAAAATCTTGATTTGATATAAAGTATCATAAAATTGAAATATTGATAAATGTTTTAAAAGTGTCTGATTTTTATCTTTATAGATTTTTTTGTACATAAAAAAACCATCAATATGCTTCTATTCACGAAAGAAAGAGATCAGTACTTTTAAATAACTGAATTATTAATCAAAGGGGAGTAACTCTACTCAAAATATCAAACGTTTACATCTTATAATTTCAGATTGTCATGAGGTGCACAAATCTGGTGGAATGAAATATGAAGGGGATTACTACATTATGATCAAACCAGACAAATCACCAAAACCTTTCAAAGTACTCTGCAAAGTAGTCAACGGCACAGGTTTGTTTATTACCTACTAAATATTTCTTCAAAGTGAAAGTTTTCATCTCTACAATCATCAGAAAAGTTTAAACTCAAGCTAAAAGAGAAGATACTTCCTGTCTTGACATTTTCCAATATTTCTAAGATTTTAAATGATTAAAGTGTTTATTAGGTATCATGTCTGAGAACTGAAATGAGATCGTCTGCTTTTACTCGCGTAGTTCAGCATATCCGTGACGTAGGTCTTTGCGTATTATTGTTTTGTCTATTTGAATAAAGCAACTTGATTACTTTTTTTCTAGGCTGGACAGTGATTCAGCGGAGGCAAGATGGATCGGTTGATTTTTACAGGAATTGGCAAGATTATAAAACAGGATTTGGTAATCAAAATGGAGAGTTTTATCTTGGCAACGAACATATACATCACCTTACATCTCAAGGTAAGATATAGGCATCAGATTACAGGTTGTGTATTTTTTCCAATACAGTGAAACCCGATTTAAAAACCCGGACTTTACTAGGTTATAATTTTATAATAGAAACGCGACTTTAGCATTAAACAAACATACAATTTGCACTTTATTAAGGATTAACAAAAGTAGAAAATGGCTGACAGATTAACGCCATGTTTGTAATAAGTTATTCTTAATTAATTAATCGAAATAATTTAAAAATACGAAGGCTATGAGTGACATATAGTTTTTTGCATCCTCGTCTTTTGATCTTTGGGGGAGTGAACATACCACATATCAATGTTTGTATGCGTTACTTCAGTTCCTAGATAGTCCGCTTTACCTTGTACGATTTCATTTTACACACAAAAGTCACGTGATAACGTCAGAAATAAATGCAGTGTTGGGATATTAACAACAGCTTCTGCATGAAAACTTCAACATAAGGGCTATTTCACACTACGGTTGGTTTTCATCAGGATGAGGGGTTAAAATAGAACAGCGTGATCGGCTTTTTTAAGTGGAAATCATTTTAAAATTTTACATTTGCATAATTCGCCTGTGTAAAAAAAACTAGGTGGATGCATAGAAAAGTATCACGTGATACGACTTTTTCAATCTCCACATTGAAACAAACAACTATGCAGGAATTTTCCTGATAATTGTTAAGAAGATCATTGTTAAAAGATAAATGGTACCTCATACTCTTTTATTTGTAACACTTACATATATGTACTTTTAATGCTATTTGTAAACTATATTGCCATTACCATTTATAATAAAGGCGTTAGTGTTAATGAATTTGTATTCGAAAGTTGATTATTATGTCTAAAATGATCAGAATCGTGAATCCTTTCATGTAATATACACGATCCATAACAGGGAAAGCGAACTGATGTGAAAAATATTTCATAACTTTATTAAATAAAATAATCAGAATACATGTTATTCTGAATAATAGATACAACAGAAATCGAGTTTTGTAAATTAAATATCGAACAGTAGGGGAGGCACATCGCATAGAAAGTACTATATAATCGTGTTTGTTCGGCAAAATCCTTGTGCTTAGTTGAGTTTCATGGTATCAGATAATAATCAAGAAAGCAACAGCAATATAGGTATTTCGTTAAAAATACAATACTTGGTTCCACAAAAATTGGTACCGTATAAACACTTTTACAGTTAATTTAGATTAATAAATAAATAATTGTAGTTTTTAAAGTTCGGTTAACATTGACACTGTAAAGTTTCTAGAACGTCAAATAAGAATCGTTTGTTGGGCCATCTTTACGCTGCTGATAAAGATCAAATTGTGTTATCGGCCTGTCTGGATGCTTGGACATTTCTTTTACCGTAATTAACGTTGAAATTGTATACTTGACCATCCTCTGAAAAGAAATTTTCGATCATGTTAAACATTTTTTAGTTGAAACTATATATATATATGTTTTAAACGTGAAGTAAATAAAGTTAAAGGAACGCACTTCTTTTCTCAGTTCGAAATTCATAAAGCTACATATTACATTCCATATGAGATAGGGTTTATTTTCTTCATTGTTCGAGGCCGTTTTTTCACCTTTAGTATAGTTAACATCCATCTCGTTTGATCTTAGATGCATAGTTGTCTCATTGGCAATTATACCACAACCCCGTATTTTTATATTGTCAGCTCTTTACCATCTAATCTTAAAGTCCTGTCCTGTTCATTAAAACCTCACGTTTCATATTACTTTTTAACGTTTTCTTTTCATAAATTGGTTCATAAAACCTATCGTTCAGTAAATTACATAATGCTTCTTTTTCAATCTAAATATTCAAGCTAATGTATAATGACATATATTTCTGATTGGTTTTACCTTTGCTATTTTAATGTCAAAAGGATAAAAAAGTCAAAACTATATATGTCATATAGATCTAAAACTCTTAACTTACTTGGATCGACATATCTTCCTCTGAATTCACGCGAATCTAAAGTCCTTGGTCGTCCTCCTGTATGGAGTCTGTTGACTGATTTTTCTGAACGAGCTCGTCTAAAATCAGGACCATGGCTTTCCCAACGACTTGGGTCAACTGGTGCTGAAAATGGTCCTTTTGTTCTTTCAACTGTTTTTGAAGGGCTCGCAAATGGAGGAGCAGTTCTGGTCACATGACCATCTGGCTCTTCTGCTATAGCACTAAGTTTCCCGCTTTTTAGTGAATCGCGGTCGTCAGATAAGTCTTCTCTTCCTATAACTGTGTTAGCAGTCCAAGGATAAGTGAACACAGATTGTTGAGCTGGTTGTATATATGTTGACTGCTCATGACCGCACTTAAGTTCATCATAAATCATAGATGGCCGAAATTTACTGCTGGTTGAAGGAAAACAATGGCATACATTTGGATCAAAGTCTTCATCATAAATACTGTTTCCGTCTGCGTCAACTTTTAATACGTTAACCTCAATTCTAGGCTGTTCTTTCCTCTGAACAGGGAATCGTTTTGTTGACATCACGTTCTGTGATACTAAGAATCATTATCATCTGTAAATAAATCAGAACGTGTTACAATATTTTTGTAGATACAAGCACGCTTTAAAATATCGTCTTGTAGATATTACCAAATGAATCAGTAAATATTGCTATAAAAGAAATAAGTAATATTAAAAGTCACTAGTCACCAGTATTTACACATACTACTTATTTTTATTCTGATTGTGTAGAGTTTGTTTAATTACATTTGTATCAATACATACTTATACAACACTTTGAATAAGTTTTGATACAGTTCTTTGATGGATACGATTTTGAAAGGGGTATTTGAACCGGTTTGATATTCAGTCAATTATTCCTTATCGCTCTTCATAATGAAAACGAGGTTAAAATTTAAATGTTCTATTTCAGGTGATTACAAACTGCGCATTGACATGGAAGAATGGAATGGCAAGAAATACTATGCAGTTTATGACATTTTCCGTACAGCAGACGAAAATGACAACTACCGCTTGCACATTACTGGTTACCATGGTACAGCGGGTGACTCCATGACAACAATGCGTGACGACCATAATGGTATGCAATTCAGCACGTATGACCGTGATAACGATAAACGATCACTGAACAACTGTGCCGTACATTATCGGGGAGGATGGTGGTACTCGGATTGTTTCGAATCTAACCTTAACGGTCGATATTACACAGAAGGACAACACAACGATTTATTCCGAAGGAACGGTATCCAATGGAATAGTATTCATTATAATTCGTCGCTCAAATTTGTTGAAATGATGATTATGCCATCAGATGGCTCAATGAATAATAATCATATTTGAGAAAGAAACTACTGACAAATTTAAAGTGTAAACAGCGTTTTAATATGAGATTAAACTATTCTCAACTAGTCTGACCTAAAAAAAAAAACGAGACTTGCTGACCACACTCTAAATAGAAATGATACTTCGCCTTCTAACAGTTCAAGGTTATCGCCCTCTATTTCCATAACGACAAAGACGTTTTACACTTGTTTATTCAACATTCAGATGGGTTTTAATGAAATTTGTGAAGGTTGTGAAACCATGTGATATTAAAAAACGCAGACATTTCTTGTTTTGTGATAAATATATTATTTATTATTTACGAAATAGTGCTCCAAGAGAAAGACTGTTAAAGTACTTTTTAACAAAATGTTTCGAAAGGACGAAATTGCATTGCAATGTCTAACAGACATTCACAGTTAAATAGAATCTTAGTGTGTTAAAAATCATGCCATTTTGTACGAAAGTTCACTCATTAGCATATTTTGTTTGTTTGTAATATTTGCAGCTGGTATAGAGTAATTACTGTACATTCACACATACTGTTTTATTTATTTTCCTACCAGCATTTTTCATTGTTGTATTCATTTACTTGGCATCAAAACTTATTTCATTTATAATGCTTCACTGCCATATGACCTTTGAACTCAAAGAAAAAAGTTGGATTACATAACTTGTAATTTTTGGCACTAGACGTTTACATAATATAATAATAACTAATGTAGCAGTTAAAGAAACAAACAGTTGAAATTAAAGACAGTTTTTATTTCTATAGGCACTGTGTCTCCTGTAAACGCTACTAACAAGAAGTTGTAATTATAATGTGTATATATATAAGTGTAAATTAACAGTATTGTTTTTGTTTAGCACTGTAAATAAAAAGGTGCCTATACGATTTATACATATGTTGATACGGGTAGTACGAACATTAAAGCTAGATACCTGATGTTAAATTGACTTCAGTGTTTTAATTGTATACACACATACACATACACACACACAAGCACATTACTATTTTAAAATAATATTATTTAGTAATTTTCAGTTCTTATGAATTACAAGAGATGTGGGATGTTTCAATGAGAAAGCAAATCTAAAAACAATAAAACCAGGGCAACATTCGGTCATCAGCAGTTGACATAAATTATATAGATCATCATTCGATCGTCAACAGTATAGACATATACAGGGAACCAATTTGTTCTCAAATATGAACATCTACAGGGGAAATTTTGGTCGTCAACAGCAGACATCTACAAGGCAACACTCGGTCGTCAGCAGAAGACATTTACAGGACAATATTCATTCAAGAACAAACATGTTTCTGTATGATTTGTCTAGCTCTAAAGCATCAAATAATTTCCTTCACCATTACACGATACGCCTTGTCACAAAAAAGTTGATCAATTTTGTTTTTCTGAAAAAAAAGTTTCCATGCGCGATCGAATCTGGGAATTGAAGGTTCAAATTAAACTTACCTTTAAAAGATCTTAAGAAACGACAGTATATAGAAATGTTATTGCAGCTACACGTATTTCACTTAACTATGAAATAGTTTTTATGAACAAAAACAAAGCAAATATAGCTCAAATCAATATTTCATTTAACACAGCAGGGTTTTGACAGTTACATGACAATCAAATTGTCATCATAGATCTTCAACTGGCAACAGGACCATGGAAAGTAAAGAACGTTGAAAATGAATTTAATCAATAATATTTGATTCCAACAAACAATATAGTAGGAATGTGAGAACTGAGTATTAAGTGTTTTTTTTTTAATTTTGAAATACACAGCTTCCATTTCGACTATTCAAGTTTGAAGAGCATTAGAAATCGAAAATCCGAAAAGTTGTGTCAAATAAGGCTACAAGGCAACCTATACCTGGGGTAGACAAACCTTAGTGTTTCGAATAATTCGACATTTTATAAACAGTAAAATAGAAAAATGAACATATCAATGATATTTCATGTCAACACAAAAGCACTGACTACTGGGCTGGTGATACCCTCGGGGACGAAACGTCCACCAGCAGTGGCATCGACCTAGTGGTTGTAAAAGCTCATCAAAGATAACAGGCTAATAAGTAGACTTTTATAAACTCGAGCATGTTATTTTGTAGTGTTTACATGGGTGATATGCGTGTTCGGACGAGTATGAGTTGGTAGACTTCTGCCCTCTTGCAATACCATTTTTCAGTTAAAAAACTTAAGAACGTATGGTTGTTAGAAAGAAGAAGAGAGATATAAGTAAATTATGAGAAATCTAATAACACAAGTTCACCAAAATAATTATCTTCGTATACGGTCTTTAGCATGATAATCTATAAATCGCCTCGATTCTAGACGAGCTGAAAATATTCCATATAAACAACCTAACATTTCAGGGTCAGATCCAGGATTTTGGAAAGCGAGTGCGCAAATTTTACAGAACGATAGAAATACCGTCTACCGTAGCGAGGCGAACACATTTTGGAAGATTTTATGTTAAATAAATGATATAATTTCCAATCAAAAGGGGGCGTACTCCCACTTCGCCCTTCCCCATGAATCCGCCACTGCACAGTTGATTCTCAACAGACACACAGGAACACCCACCATTAACATTCATGAATTGGACCATGTGCATAAATATAGATATCTACTTCAATGAAAAAAACTTGATTCAATATCAATGCGAGAATTGTTTCTGTATACGCTTTCCAATGGATCAAAAACTAAATAAAGGTATCATACAATGCTCGGTTTAACTTATCCAATTTATGGTTGTTTTCTTTAATCTTCCAAATATTTCTCCTAAGGGTTCATGTTAATATATTAAAGGGAAGGACAGTAGTCCCTCCACAAAGATGAAATGATATGTAATATTATGTACACACTTACTTGTTAATATGTGTGATATTACATTAAATTCCAAATTGCATGACTGAAGCGTTAAGATTTTTGTCATATAATACGCCATTACAAAATCTGAATTTCAAAACAAGCTTCATAAAATGATTAGAATATATTTCAAAACACTGAAACAGTCTTCTCAATAATCAATAGTAAGAAGAATTCCACCAGTAATTAGATTCGGACATGCAAAATGCACAAGACATTTTACTCATTCACGACTAATCATTTGTGTTTCGTCTTTAAACATATGATATGCCAAGTTTGACATCCACTTGTAAACATCGGGCACCCTAAGGTAAATAATTTGAATTCAAGAAAACTAATGGCATTCTAGAATACAAATTCTAATTATGAAGACAATTGATTATTGACTTTGTGTTAGACTTTATTGACCGTTTCTTTGTTATATATAACATAAGGACAATAGTTTTCAGTCCTGATCAGATTAATCCCAGGAAAACTTGAGAAAAAATTATACTACATAGAATACTCTGTCGTAGGATTGCTATCTCCTTGAATCCATATTCGTGAAGTCAATGAATAAAAGGGCAAATAATGACAGTTACACACATATAGAATGTGCTTATACATACAAAAGAGTATAGGAATCCCCAATATATTGGACAGTGCAACAGACAATCAACACCGAAAAAATCATGAGACATACAATCACAGTAAACAACACATGGCCAAGAAATTAGATATGTTTAAATTATATGACCTCAGAATTGTTATTACATTTAAGTGCCTACGGTTAGATGGTACACTGCAGATAGTTGTAAGGTATAGCAATTTTACGGTTAGATGGTACAGATAGTTGTAAGGCATAGCAATGCTACGGTTAGATGGTACAGATAGTTGTAAGGTATAGCAATGCTACGGTTAGATGGTACAGATAGTTGTAAGGTATAGCAATGCTACGGTTAGATGGTACAGATAGTTGTAAGGTATAGCAATGCTACAGTTAGATGGTACAGATAGTTGTAAGGTATAGCAATGTTACGATTAGATGGTACAGATAGTTGTAAGGTATAGCAATGCTACGATTAGATGGTACAGATAGTTGTAAGGTATAGCAATGTTACGGTTAGATGGTACAGATAGTTGTAAGGTATAGCAATGGTACGGTTAGATGGTACAGATAGTTGTAAGGTATAGCAATGTTACGGTTAGATGGTACATATAGTTGTAAGGTATAGCAATGTTACGGTTAGATGGTACATATAGTTGTAAGGTATAGCAATGTTACGATTAGATGGTACAGATAGTTGTAAGGTATAGCAATGTTACGGTTAGATGATACAGATAGTTGTAAGGTATAGCAATGTTACGGTTAGATGGTACAGATAGTTGTAAGGTATAGCAATGTTACGGTTAAATGGTACAGATAGTTGTAAGGTACAGCAATGTTTCCAAAAAAATATTATGCTCATCAAGCTCGATTCTATATAATGCAAATTCTGGCGATTCACAACTCATTTTTCCGTTCTCATACGAAGTTTCGAACTGATGAATGTAACAATAAATATAAATGTGATACCTTTAACGTTTTTATATCCAAAGAGTTTCATTGTGGTAAACTTGTCGGAAGAAGACCCAATTGTGGAAAGGTATCAGGCATTGAAAACAAAGCTCTATAACATATAGGAGACTGGGTTTAAACACTTCTGTAAACGTTCGGGACATGAAGCTCTATAACATATAGGAGATAGGGTTTAAACACTTCTGTAAACGTTCGGGACATGAAGCTCTATAACATATAGGAGATTGGGTTTAAACACTTCTGTAAACGTTCGGGACATGAAGCTCTATAACATATAGGAGATAGGGTTTAAACACTTCTGTAAACGTTCGGGACATGAAGCTCTATAACATATAGGAGACTGGGTTTAAACACTTCTGTAAACGTTTGGGACATGAAGCTCTATAACATATAGGAGATTGGGTTTAAACCCTTCTGTAAACGTTCGGGACATGAAGCTCTATAACATATAGGAGATATGGTCTAAACACTTCTGTAAACGTTCGGGACATGAAGCTCTATAACATATAGGAGATAGGGTTTAAACACTTCTGTAAACGTTCGGGACATGAAGCTCTATAACATATAGGAGATTGGGTTTAAACCCTTCTGTAAACGTTCGGGACATGAAGCTCTATAACATATAGGAGATAGGGTTTAAACACTTCTGTAAACGTTCGGGACATGAAGCTCTATAACATATAGGAGATTGGGTTTAAACCCTTCTGTAAACGTTCGGGACATGAAGCTCTATAACATATAGGAGATAGGGTTTAAACACTTCTGTAAACGTTCGGGACATGAAGCTCTATAACATATAGGAGATTGGGTTTAAACACTTCTGTAAACGTTCGGGACATGAAGCTCTATAACATATAGGAGATATGGTTTAAACACTTCTGTAAACGTTCGGGACATGAAGCTCTATAACATATAGGAGATTGGGTTTAAACACTTCTGTAAACGTTCGGGACATGAAGCTCTATAACATATAGGAGATTGGGTTTAAACCCTTCTGTAAACGTTCGAGCCATGAAGCTCTATAACATATAGGAGATTGGGTTTAAACACTTCTGTAAACGTTCGGGACATGAAGCTCTATAACGTTCGGGACATGAAGCTCTATAACATATAGGAGATTGGGTTTAAACACTTCTGTAAACGTTCGGGACATGAAGCTCTTTAAACACTTCAGTAAACGTTCGGGACACGACTTCGACCTGATGCAACATTGGTTTAATGTCACTGATTTATTTCTAATAATTAATGTTCTCTCCAAAGCCAGCATTATAAATGTTATAAAAAATAACCTTGGTGCAGAACAACATCAAAGAACAAATGAAAAATGCAATAGAAGGATGTTCGCTGTCCAAGGCGGCCATCTTGTTATTACTATTTTGAGCTCATCTGTCTTTTCAAAAAAATTTAATAGTAGTATAGCATATAAATTCTCCGGTAACTCATACTTTTTGTATAGCAAAATATACATATCTTCATTATTTCTTTAGCAAATGACTTTTGATATAGAGCTACTATTTGAAAACCTAGTCCTTTTGAAATCTTATGATCAATAAATAGAAAGTTGTACTGAAATGTATATGACTTAAGACTAGTTTTTCTCCTAAGATAAATTTTGAAAACAGTCACAGGCAAAATAACATTTGTTGTAAATATCAAGATGCTATATTTACCTGAAAAGAACATTTCCTCATAAATACAATGTGTGCACTGCAATCACGAGTTTACTGACGGTAATAAATTAGAAAAGTTTATTATAGTACTTTAAAACTCATAAACATGTTTAACAATCTGTTTTATAACAAAGCACTTTAAGAAACTGATTAATAATTCTTAAACATTGAAATCATTTTAGAAAATCAATAGATCATAAGAAAACAGTTGTTGATTAGGAATTCCATGGTAAAACGTTAATTCATCACACAATTTTAGCTAGAGAAATGTTAGTTCATCATATCATTATGGACAGTAAACATTTTAAGACTAGTAGGATGTCAATTAATTATTCCTTTACTTACTTATTAATAATTAACACCAGAGTTAAAAAATTGACATTCAAGAGATTTTTTAACAAAATATTTTTCAAGGCAATTTACCGAATGTGTTCAGTAAATCATTCATAGAATAACTGAACGTCATTGAATGATTATAGGTTGATTAAGATGTTATGCTTACAAACTGTTGGAAAGAATTTTGGTATCTAACGTGCCCAATGAAGCTTTTTATTTCATGAGCATGTTTTTCAGTGGTTTTCGTTGATTACTGTATGTTTACAAAAAAAAGTAAAATCACAAAAATACTGAACTCCGAGGAAAATTCAAAAAGAAGTCCCCAATCAAATGGCAAAATAAAAAAAAAAAAAAAACGCATCAAACGAATGGATAACAACTGTCATATTCCTGACTTGGTACAGGCATTTTCTTATGTAGAAAATGGTGGATTGAACCTGGTTTTATAGTTTTACAAACAGTTGGAAAGAATTTTGGTATCTAACGTGCTCAATGAAGCTTTTTATTTCATGAGCCTGTTTTTCAGTGGTTTTCGTTGGTTGCTGCATGTCTCATATATATATAATTGAGAATGGAAATGGGGAATATGTCAATGAGACAACAACCAGACCAGAGAGCAGAAAACAGCCGAAGGTCACCAATGGGTCTTCAATGCAGCGAGAAAATCCCGCTCCCGGAGGCGGGCTTCAGCTGGTCCCTAAACAAAATTGTGTACTAGTTCAATGAATATGGACGTCACATCTGTCTTTCGTAAATATTTTTGTCCTAAATCAGGCTGTTGGTTTTTTTCTTTCGAATTGTTTCACAATTTGTCATTTCGTGGTCTTTTATTGCTTACTATATGGTATGGGTTTTGCTCATTGATGAAAGCCGCACGGTGACCTATAGCTGTTTTAACATCTACGTCATTTGGAATCCAGTTAAAGGTTGTCTAATTGGCAATCATACCACATATCTCTAATTAATATTGTTCCAGAAACATCTAGTGTGCGCCCTGAAATTGGTATTATACGTTCTTATTCAAGATAGTCCTATTTTAGTAACGAAACATTTAAAATCCTTGACAGCTAATTTTCTTTTGATGTACATTCAGTACTAATTAAAAAATGAAAAATAGTTTGACATCCACTTTAAAGTTAAGTAGTAACTTTATATTCGTCAAACATACTACTAATACGGTACTTATCCTATAGTGTCAAATGGTGTCTGTTCGGTTACCCTAGTAAGATGTATACTTAGTATTTCGGAACCTTTCAAGGAAATAACAGACTAGTTCAGATCATGAAAATTTAAACTTTTACATTTTGTGACCTTATTGTCCCCAGACACTGACTTTATTTGTAATACGTTATTTCTACATATACAACGAAGACTCTTGCACATAATAAACAGTGGGTAAATCTAGAATAAAATAAAGAAAAGAAAAGAAAAGCTATCAATTATATATCTTTCTTGAGATTTGTCTTTCTATCTAATAACTTACCTAAAATGTCTACATTTTCCTTGTAATTTGTTATGTTTCCATTGAAGTATACATGACTATGGATGTCATTTGGATAGGTAAACATACACAATACTTTGATCAAATTTGAAAGGGTACATTATATATGTGTAAGACGTCGATTTTAAAACTGTATTACGCTTCAATGAACAATCAAAACAAATTTTTGCGATCGCTTTACTTCACTTTTAAATAAGTCCTTTCAAATTCGGATTCTCTTTATTATAACTGATATATTCAATTCATATTTGAATACATTTTGTACATAAAAGATGTGAATTCAAATGTAGAAATTTTGATTTTTATTGTTGAATTAAACAAACTATTGAATAATACAGAACTATATCTCATGTAATATAAAGGAGGAAAACTATTGTATCTCTCACTTCATAATTATATAATTATATGAATTCAAAAAATATAATTATACTTATATGATTAAAGATGATACACGTTTAAATGTCACAGAAGCATACGTTGAAATCCTACTGAGGGAATGACAAAATTTTTGCAACTTCACAAACCTAACGTTGATTGGCTAAAATTTCAGATACACAGCTGTATACCCTTGTTATATATATAAGACTCAGATCGACGTCCGATCTCTAATCGACACTCGTTTTTCAAATCGACGTCTAAATCTGAAGTCATTCCAAATCGACGAGCAATTCTACGCCCCTCTAATCGACGTCCAATTTTTGGCTTCTCTAATCGACGTCCCTTTTACGGACTTGCCGCAATGAGATCACAATTTTATTTAATGATGGGTTGAGTCTATAACTCCAAAAGTAGTTGAAAAATATAAGATTTTAAATCTTGTAGCCAAGAGTCCAAGTAATAATACTTTTCAACCATTGACAGTACTTTTTTATTATGTCTATTGTTTTAGTCTGTATAGTGCCCTCTAGATTGTCTTTCTGCTATCTTTGTTTTAAGGTTGTTGTCTCATTGTCGTATATCCACATGTCTTTTATCTATATGAATATGAAAGGACTACGACAACGTAGATCGAGAGGATGAACTTCTTTCACCAAAATATTAATGAGCATGTACATGTAAGATGATGTCGGTGATTGTCTTATTGTCATTTTGATGTGATGTTTGTCCTTTTATTTTGATCGAGATATAAAAAAAAAACAATTGGTATCTTTAGCTGCTTCAAACAAAGACAAAACGATACAGACAATATTATACAAGTATAACCTGCCTTTTATAGCTGACTATGCGGTATGGGTTTTGCTCATTATTGAAGGCCGTACGATGACCTATAGTTGTTAACTCCCACGTCATCTGGTCTCTGTTGGAAAGTTGTCTCATTGGCATTTATACCACATCTTCTTACATTTATATTTGTATGAGGTCGATATATCGACCTATAAGAAGTATATCGACTGAAGGTAGACAGAAAACAGCAGCCTGCTGAGCAGGTAGAAAATTGATAGTGCACAGTTATGACTTTGGTTCCTCGAAATATGTTGATTTCATTCTTACAAAAATCTTACAAACGAGTTTAATTCTATAAGAAATTAGAAATATCTAAGATACTACATCGACTTTGGTAAACATATATTGTTCTTCTTTCATACCTTTTAATGAATACGCCTTACTTATTTTGGAACACACAAGATTATTCTTTTAGATGATCACTTATATTTTAAGAACTTTCAAATAGAAGATGATATAATTAATTGATACTGATTCCAGTGGCGGATTCAGTGTACCCACTCCCTTTATGATTAAAAAAACAACATTCATCAAACTTAAATCGTCCAAAAAAATTCGCCTAATCGGCTCGGCAGTTAAGTCCTCTTTAAAAAAGTTCTGCCCTCCTGATTTCATATACGGCTAATTAATGAAAATTCGCCCAATTTTTTTTATGCTTTGTCACTACGTTGGAGCTCCTACGCAGCGACTTTATTCAGAATATTTTCATTTAGCATCACAATTATCTACAATTTGTAACATAGCATGCAATATTGACGTATTCTAGAGTCATTCTCATATATAACAATATACAGGGACACTGATTATTATGAGCACTCGTTGCATGTTTATGAATCCGACAGGATATAGGTAGCATTTTTCAAGATTTATTTTCCATTTAACAATAGTATTTCCACATATAAAACTTTTATATCAAAAACTGGGTTGATTTAGGAAAGACATGTTTGTTTTTAGTCTTACATCTTACATTATTTGAACCTCAGAAGAAAAGATTTAACTAGAGGCTCTAAAGAGCCTGTGTCGCTCACCTTGGTCTATGTGCATATTAAACAAAGGACACTGATGGATTCATGACAAAATTGTGTTTTGGTGATGGTGATGTGTTTGTAGATCTTACTTTACTAAACATTCTTGCTGCTTACAATATCTCTATCTATAATGAACTTGGCCCAGTAGTTACAGTGGAAAATATTTTGTAAAAATTTACAAAAATTTACAAAATTTATGAAAATTGTAGAAAATTGACTATAAAGGGCAATAACTCCTTAAGGGGTCAATTGACAATTTTGGTCATGTTGACTTATTTGTAGATATTACTTTGCTGTACATTATTGCTGTTTACAGTTTATCTCTATATATAACAATATTCAAGATAATAACCAAAAGCTGCAAAACTTTCTTAAAATTACCAATTCAGGGGCAGCAACCCAACAACGTGTTGCCTGATTGGTCTGAAAATTTCAGGGCAGATAGACCTTGACCTAATGAACAATTTTATCCTTGTCAGATTTGCTCTAAATGCTTTGGTTTCAGAGATACGAGCCAAAAACTGCATTTTACCCTATGTACTATTTTTTAGCCATGTCGGCCATCTTGGTTCGCGGGCGGGGTCATCGGACACATTTTTTAAACTAGATACCCTAATGATGATTGTGGACAAGTTTGGTTAAATTTGTCTTAGTAGTTTCAGAGGATACGATTTTTGTAAAAGATTACAAAAATTTACGAAAAATGGTTAAAAATTGACTATAAAGGGCAATAACTCCTAAAGGGGTCAACTGACCATTTTGGTCAAGTTGACTTATTTGTAGATCTTACTTTGCTGAACATTATTGCTGTTTACAGTTTATCTCTATCTATAATAATATTCAAGATAATAACCAAAAACGGCAAAATTTCCTTAAAATTACCAATTCAGGGGCAGCAACCCAACAACAGGTTGTCAGATTCATCTGAAAATTTCAGGGCCGATAGATCTTGACCTGATAAACAATTTTACCCCCATGTCAAATTTGCTCTAAATGCTTCGGTTTCAGAGATATAAGCCAAAATCTACATTTTACCCCTATGTTCTATTTTTAGCCATGGTGGCCATCTTGGTTGGTTGGCCGGGTCACCGGACACATTTTTTAAACTAGATACCCCAATGATGATTGTGGACAAGTTTGGTTTAATTTGGCCCAGTAGTTTCAGAGGAGAAAATTTTTGTAAAAGTTAACGACGACGGACGACGACGGACGACGGACGCCAAGTGATGAGAAAAGCTCACTTGGCCCTTTGGGCCAGGTGAGCTAAAAAGGCGTTTGGTACTGTTTAGCGTTTTGGATTATTGTAAATTGGTTTTATAGTTTATTGAATTGTTAACAACGGTGGCACATGCATATTTAAAATAATATGTCACAGAGAATATGTAATATTGGATAAATAATATAAAAACTTGTCCTAATTATATAAAAAAAATTTCGTCAATATCAATATAATAATTTCTTTTGAGGAGGAGGCAGGAGGGGGGGTACATTTCTAATAGAGTAAACACATATTTTTACAAGAGCATTTTGTTGATATCGTTAAATCCCCCGAACTTTTTATTCAAAAGTGAATGTAAAACAAAAAAGCAAATGTATGTTATTTTCTTGAAAGATAAATATGTTTTGGTTACCCATGTCGTTGGGTTGTTGTCTTATTGAAGCATGATAATCTGCATCTCATTTTATTCATATTATTTCAAAATATAAATCGTCTAGAGGTCGGAATGCGGATAGCAAAATTGATACATTTATAAACCCGTTGGCGTTTAACCATTATTGCAAATTCTAATCAAATTTTATATTCAAACTTCATGTAACCTGTTAGGATTTATGTATATGATTGTTTTGCATAATCGTCAGTATTAAATCAACAGCTTTGACTACCTTAGGTATAGCTTCCTGTGGTATTGATCACTTCTGAACCTTCTTTTCAAAATAACGTGTCGTCCTTTATTTCATTGTTCAAGAAACTGTGTGGGCATCGTGTTGGTAACTGCACTGTGTCGATTTTTTTCTGTTTACTTTCACAACATTTAATCTAGATAAGCTAAAGGGGACGGGTTTGTGAGCCACTAAAACTGGTTGAACCCCACTACATTTTGAACCTGTACCCAGTCAGGCTTTTGGACTATGTGTAATTCGTTCGTGTTTGTCCTTATTTGTGCTTCCTTTTTTAGAGGGGTCAGATGTTGGTGGTTGGTGTGGTCTGTCGTACTGTCTTATATTGTTTGTAGATCCAGTTATCCTTTTAATTTGTTATCAATTCAGTTGTGCTTCTAAATTTGACCATGCTAAGCAATGCCCATGTTGCCTTAAAGCATACATAAATTGGTACTGTGCATAATAAATATTTATAGAAAGGAGGTTATCATTTGATCAATTTATCAAGGGATGGCTAGCTAAATATTGTCACAAAACGACTTGTCAATAAATATGTTCGATAATTAGATGTACGACCATACTTTGTTTAAAGATATCAGTAATCGCAACTCTCTACAAAAAAATCAATTTGCTTCAAACTGTTAAAAAGATGAACATCGACAACAGCAACATTATTAGTTACATAGTGTGCTAGTGACCTAATACGGTATAAATGGGGTCAGTAAATTCCATATGGGGTGAGAGCGAAACTCGAATCCCCATATGGAATTTACTGACCCCATATATACCGTATTACGTCACTAGCCCACTATGTAACGGATTTATCTTACCGACTATCTTAACGTGTGATATTTAGACATAGTCTAGTGACCTATCAAAATGAGCAATTCTTCAATACCGTTAGCATTAAGAAACTACTTCCATTGTTCATACAAAAACAGATACCAACAATAACAACTTGTCATATATAGCTTTAAATGTGTTTTATGAATTTATT